GTTTTTAATCACATGAGCAGAAATGAATGACTGTTTATGAGGATCTGAGATCAAGAACTCTGTGCATCTCCCTTCAAAAGGAGCCATTTTCTCCAGGCACGGGTATAGTTGTTTGCAACATCTGCCCACCTTGTCCTTTGCAAGCTAGTTCATTCCAGCCTGCTGTTGCATCAGGAGAAGGTTACCAGGCACCAGAGAGAAAAATCTTCTGGAAAGCTGTTAGTTATGTTGCTTTTGTCTCTGTTCTGTTAGTGCTGCCCTACACAAAGGGCATAGGAAGGGCGAGGTAGGAATGCAGATGGCGAATGCTAGAAGTTGCTTCTGCTTCTTTGGAGGAAGGAAGGAGTCAAGTTAGGAATTGCTGGAGCTTCCCAGTTCTTTTCTCTGAGATCTTTTTCTTGTTCAGTAGAACATAATTTATACATCCAAAGTGCAGAATTCTTCACCCGTTGGACATCTCAGCCTCACCTACCTAATTTCCTATATATTTGGGGGGAAGAGGACTGTGGATGAGGAGATTATCCAGAAAGTTACGTAATAGCTGAAGAGAGTTGGGTTTTTTTGTTGAACATTGTACTTCAAATGTTTTTCTGCTTGCAATAAATTATAAAGCACATGATCCTGAGAAGGTGGAACATTTTAGCTACCTGAGATGAGAGACAGGGCCTCTAGATGTGATTTTCAGTTGTTTGGTTAGGAATGCTTCTAAAAATCTTGCTTGGAGTAAAAAAAATGAGAGAGAGAGAGAGAGAGAGAATCAGTTATGGATGTTGGCGTAGTGCAAGGTTGGCTTGGTGTGAATTTATTTTATTTATTATTGAGTTTATACCACACCATTGTGTTTATTCCAATGCTTAAGGTGGCGTGCAGCAATTTTAAAAAATGCAGATTTGGTGCTTATCCAGAAGGCATCAATTTTGAATGAAAGTTGCCCTCTCTAGGGTAGTGACCTGTTTATTCGACATGAAAGTGTTGACTAAAAAAAAAAAAAAAAGGAAACCATATGAGAAATTTCAATTTTGAATAGTTGATCTAGTGATTGTGACAAACATTGTAGCCTTGTTTTAAATCAAGCATAAGGTCCCATAAAATTCAAAAATACGGAATTCATATAGAGGAGTAATGTATATGTATGTATGTGTGTATGTATATATAGAGAAGAAAGTTCTCTATCAACCTTGGCTGCTGATGGGACATGAACTCCAAAACATCTGAAAGGCACCTGATAACTTATTCTTGATGCAATTCTGGCTTGTAAATCCTGCAAGATTCTCTTACCTTGCTGAACATTTGATAATTCGGACTAGGTTCAGGATGAAACTGTTCCTTTCCAGCCAACCATGATGATAGAAAACAGGGTTTGCAACTTTGCACATCGCTTTTGCAATCAATAAAACTGAAGGAGCACATTCTTGTAAGAATGTGGCTCTTAATGCAGTTTGTTAATACGATGGGAGCACTATTCAGAATCATTCTGCACCCTTCTCTCCTCGTCCCTCCCCAAACACATACACGCAAAATGAAGGAAAATGGATATTTAGCTAGTCACATGTGACTAGGAATAATTTAAAGATTGATGTATTTTTTAATTGTAGGTAGGAGTGCTGAAAGATGTTGTTGGAGCAATGAGGCAATATTCCTTTCGCAACCACCAGCTTTAGTGAAATCTCCCAGGATCGGGTGGGGGCAGAGAGGGAAGAGAGAAGGAATTCCTGTTTACTTCAGTGGAAAAAGTTATTGGAAGCTTCAAATATTGGAATCCGTGAAAATATGATGGAGGCTGTTCATCTTAATTAAAGCACCCTTGTGCTCCTTTGGCCTCAAGATGTCAACCGTGTATAGGGTTTTTTTTGCAATTTCCAACTGAAAAAAAGAAATGTTTCGATGGCTCATTTCCATTTTCATACTGTGGCAGTTACTTTGTGTCTGAGGCTGGCCTGACAAGCAGCAGATCAAGTGAACTTCCACCTTGAGCCCCAAAATATCTTCAGTTGCCTTCCTTCCGTTTTTTTCTTCTGAAGGTTTTGCGTTTTACTCCTTTAGCTTGTAGCTGTTTCCAGTGATTTATGGCTACTTTTTGCCAAGATATGGAGGTGCTCCTTGCTCTGGTACAATAAGTCTCACTTCTGGTGCTTGGCATCTCTACGTTGAAAGGTCAGGTGAGCCGATGATGAGATCTTGTGAAGGTTTTATTCTTCAAAGAATACAGTTCTGCCCTAGATGTGTAAAGACTCCAGTTTAAGACAGATACCTCTTTTTCCAAGCAAACAGACCAGTTTCTGCAAGACTTGGGTACACCAGCAGTTCTCAGAATTAGGCTGTCCAGTGAGGTCTGTCCCAGATGGGCTTCCTAAATGTTCACTAATACTTTCAGGATTGTCTAAAAGGGCATAAGAATCCCCAGGTTTCTTCTGTAATCAATTACGACCATAGCAGGAAACGTTGTCTCTGTATTTTCCTTTTAGCCAAGTCTTTACCATCTGACCTCCTGAGGCCAAGATGCTGCTGGAATTCCAGTGCTGATACAACTTCTGGAATTTCTGGCTGAGCACTCAAAATAACAACCAAACCAGAGAAGCTAAAGTAGAATTTGGGTTTGTTTTGAGATCAATATTCCTGGGAGGACTTCTGATCAGTTTGTGTTGAGCCTGGGGATACTGACAGTCTGTTAACCAGCAAAGTAGGAGGGTGAACTAGACATCATTACTTGGACCTGCAGGATTGATTGTCCTTGTATCAGATAGGAAAGCTTTTGAAGTTTCACCCGGAGATGTCAGGGATTGAAACATCTGCATATTGACACTGAGTTATTGTCCTTGGCCTTTGGAGGGGAAAAACAAAGCAAGAATATAGTCCTGATGGCTGAATAAATGGTTGAACTTAGTTCGAAAACAGGAAACTGTCTTCTGTGGAATTTGATCTTTCGGACTCCTAACTCCATATTATATGCACTGTCTGCCTTCATGCATTGTACAACGCCATGATTTAACCATGGGTAAGTTCCACCTGGCTACGACTGCACATCGTTTGGTGTTTTAAGCCGTGGTTTACAACAGGGTGCCTGAGTTCAAACAATATGCTAACTCAACTCCTTATGGCTTAGTGACATGAAATGGGTATACATGGTGAATAGAAGGAGGTTCCCAAAAGTTTGAAATCAGAATTGTGGCCAATTCTACCTGAAGATGGCAAGGAGCAGCTATGTGGCCATGGGCTTTCGTTACATGCTAGAATCCTTCCCATTTTTAATGCATGGCTTCTCAAGGAGAACTTCTTCTGCTTCTGTTTTTATGGATACTGAAATCAAACTAGTAAGCACTTCCAGAAGCAAGCTGATCCTGGATTCTTCAGAGATGCTGTGCATTAAGATTTGAAGCTACCTTCTCATTTTAGAGTCACCTGGATCTTTCTATTGCACTGTGCTAAGAATATGTGAGTCTGTTTCTTCTCAATTGTCCCCCTTTCTCCCCTCCACCCACCGCCACAGATAGATGTGTTCTTCTGACATCTGTGAGTTGCACACCCATAGATTGAGTTGTCCTTGATGTGTTGCCCTGAAACACTCATTAAAAGGACGAGAAATTCCATGTGCCAAAACTTTGAGTGAATTGCAAAATATAAGCTAGCGGGATTGGAGGAAAAAAGGTAATATGTCTCCTGTTTATGCTCTGGAAATTATGAGTTTTTTTTTCTTATTGCAAACAATTCTCTGGTTCTCCTAAACAGACAAACAAAAGGAAATAACAGATAGGCTGATTGTAAGAGAGAGTTTCATCCTCTGCTGGAGGAGTCCGCCAGTTTCGCCTGGAGCGACTGGTGGGAAGAAAAGGATTTGACTGAAGAGATGGGGGGTCAGGATATGCAGAATATTCTTGGGGTGCCCTTCTACCAGGTTTGGAGATGGCCTCTCTCTTGCTCATTGCAGAATAAAGAAAGAAGTTGGGGTGGAAGCCTACACACTGGGCTTCAGCAACTCCATTTTTGAGGAGAAAATTGCACCTGCCTGGTCCTTTTTCTCATTCTCCCCCCTCTCCAGCTCCAGTGGTGGGCATCAGAGGAATTCAATATTTGCAGTGGTGCCAAAAGGGACAGGGCATCTGCACGTTTGAAAGGGAGATTCCTTAGCTCCTGTTTCCTACTAGAGTTGGATTTTTGGAGCACGGATCTCCCAGGCATTCCTCATTTCCTTTCTTTTGTTTTGCATTGCCTCCCCCCACCCCTTGAAACATTTCTAGACCGGTCCGGACGTTGCAAGGGGGGGTAGGTGGCCTGGGGACGG